GTTGCACTTATACACATGCAGGCAATACACTCATACACATAAAATAAAAATAATAAATGAAAAAAAATTTTTTTAAAGGAGAGGATGAGGCTGGAGAGATGGCTCAGTGGTTAAGAGCACTGTCTGCTCCAAGCTGGGCATGGTGGCGCATGCCTTTAATCCCAGCACTGGGAGGCAGAGGCAGAGGAAGGCAGATCTTCAAGGTCAGCCTGGTCTACTTAGTGAGTTCCAGGCCAGCTAGACCCTGTCTAAAAGAGACCAAAAAAAAAAAAAAAGAGCACTGTCTGTCTGCTCTTGCAGGTTCAATACCCAGCACCCACATGGTGGCTAACAACCGTCTATAACTCTAGTCACAGCCAGGGAATCCAACACCCTCTTCTGACCTCCACGAGCATTGCACGACACAGATGTTTTTTACATACACACAGGCAATACACTCATACACATAAAAGTAATAAATTAATAAAAGAAGAGGATATATGGATATATGAAGGGAGGAGGGGGATATGTTGGAGGTGCCCTGGGGACATGAGAAGGGGAAGTTGGGGGTGTATGATCAAGATGCATTGTTTTTTGGTTTTGGTCATTTTTTAAAAATTATTTATTATTTTTATGTGTATGTGTGTATTGCCTGCATGTAGGTAAGTGCACCCGTGTCATGCAATGCCCGTGGAGGACAGAAGAGGTTGTCGGAAGCCCTAGGACTAGAGTTACATAGTTGTTAGCTGCCATGTGGGTGCTGGGATTCTACCCTGGGTCTTCTGCAAGAACAGCCAGTGTTCTTAACTGCTGAGCCATCTCTCCAGCCTTGGTCTTTTTGAGACAGGGTCTCCCCGTAGCCCCAGCTGGACTGGAACTCAGTATGCAGACCAAGCTGGCCTTGAACTCACAGAGATCCATCTGCCTCTGCCTTCCAAGAGCTTGGACTAAAGGCATGTGCCACCACACCTAAGATGCATTGTTTACATGTAAAAAAGAATAAAAAATATCTGTAGATGTCCTGCAGCATCACAGGAACTGAGTTTCAGACCAAGTAACTTCCAGCTTGTGCCAGTTCAAGAATGCCTTACCGCCTCTTGGCAGACTTTTTTTTTTTTTTGGTCTTTTTGACACAGGGTCTCCCTGTAGCCCCAGCTGTCCTGGAACTCACTATGTAGACCAGGCTGGCCTTGAACTCGCAGAGATCCACCTGCCTCTGCCTCCCAAGTCCTGGGACTACAGGTGTGCGACACCACGCCCGGCCTGGCAGGCTTTTTATTAGAAATCTCAGCATATAAACTTCGTATGAGGGGATGGAGAGATGGCTCAGCTGCTAAGAACACTGGCTGTTCTTGCAGAAGACCTGGGTTTGAATCCCAGCACCCACATGGCAGCTAACAACTGTCCATAGCTCCAGTCCCAGGGGATCCCACAGCCTCTTCTGTCCTCTGCAGGCATTGTATGACACGGGTGCACTTACCTACATGCAGGCAATACACATATACACATAAAAAATAAAAGTAAATAAAACATTTTTAAAAATTCATATGAAGTGCACACACAATGCTTCAATAGTGCAAAACATGTAGGAATTTCACTATTGGTAACTTACTTCAAAGCTAAAAGTGGGACAAACTCTTAGTTTGTGTTTAGAAGCATATCTGCACAAAACAAGAAGTACAGTGCAGCCCCACTCCCAGCATTCCAGGGAGCCAGCACTTGGCTGAGTTTAAGGACATTTGTTAATACTATGTACACCAAGTGCCCTAGTCCCTAAGGGGCAAAAGAAGCAGCTATAAATATTCTATTGTGCGGGAGGGAGGAAGGGAAGGGAGGAAAGAAAAAAGAACTTTGTCACTGACGTTTGTGAAGAGAGCAAACCTGGGAGGACAAGAAATTTTCTTCTTCATGGCTGTGGCCTCTGCGTTTATAACAAAGCCAGGGATGAGCTCAATCATAACCTCAAGAGAGGAAAGAATCTGGTAAAATACTATCTAAGGAAAATTCTAAATAAAATGTAGGGTTTAGGGCCTGGGAAGATGGCTTAGCTGATAAGAGTGTCTGCTACAATGAGGACCTGAATTCAGAGCCCTAGTACCTATGTAAGAAGCTGGGTTCATCTAGAATCCCAGCACTGGGAGGCAGAGACAGAATCCCTGGGTCTTGCTGGCCAGCCAATCTGAATCAGTGAGCTCCACCAGGTTAAGTGAGAGACACTATCTCAAAATTAAGGTGGGGCCAGGCTTGGTGGTGTACACTTTTAATCTCAGGACTCAGGAGGCAGAGGCAGGCAGACCTCTGTGAGACGGAGGCCAGCCTGGTCTATATAGAAGTTCCAGACCAGCTGGGACTACAAGCTCTGGTTCAGAAAAACAAAACAAAACAAAACAAAGTAAGATGAAGAGCAACTAAGCCAGGTATGGTGGTGCATACCTTTAGTCCCAGCACTCTATGAGATCCAGGCCAGCCTGGTCTACATAGCAAGTTCCAGGACAGCTGGGGCTGCAGGTACACCCTTGTCTCAAAAAGACAAAAAAGGAAAAAAGAAAAAAAAAAGATGAAGAGCAACTGAGGAAGACACCCAGCAGCAACCTTTGGTCTCTACATACATGTACGCCTGGATGCAGAGACCCACACATACACATATATAAAGACATATGTTTAATCAAAACACTGAAGGGTCTAGCTAATTATAAAGACACTTTACAAGTTTTATTTCAGAAAACTGTTTTATATATATAGGCAGATTGGGGGCAATAAATACATAAATAAATTACATGTGCCCACTCAAGAAAAAAGGCAACTAAATAATACAATCAGTGTTAAACATTTGTTTCTCAAGTTTTAACTCAGGAAACAAAGTGACAGCATTAGGCATGTGATATCAGCACATGCTCTGCAAGGAATAAGTGCAGACTCTTACCTGGATGCAAGAGACGAAAGGTGGGAAGAAAAATAAAGTAGTATTAAGAAAGTGGTTAAAGTCACGGAGAAGTTTTTGAGTGATGATGCTTTTTTCAGATGCTGTCCTAAATTTATCCATCTCTTTCAGAATCCCAGAAAACAAGCAGCTGAAGAGTTGTTTTGCAATTATTGGGTCCCTCTGTAAAAATTTCAAAATAAGGACAAATTAGATCTGAAGTAAAATGCTATAATTTACCAATACTCAGGAGTTTTACTTTAAATACCAACTGCTAAAAACACTTCCATTAACACATGTAAGTTATGTTTAGAAAGTTTTAATAGTAATTACACAAGGGGGAGGTGTTTCCTGGAATTTAATCAAACACACTTGCCTGATGTATGTCATGATAGCACAGACCTTTGATTCAGACAGGTGAACTTAAAAGCTGACATGTGATACAACAATCACATAAGAAGGTAGGACCCTAATTCCTTATGTTTTTAAACAGTATCTTATTTTTATGTTTATTTTATGTGTATGAGTGTTTTGCCTGCATGCATATAAATGCACCTTTGTGTGCAGTACTCAGAGAGGCCAAGAGAGGCAGTCAGATCCCTGGAACTGGAGTTACTGATAGTAGTTAGTTATCACGTGCATGCTGGGAATGGAACCCAGGTCTTTTGTTAACAGCAGCAAGTGTTCTTAAGCACTGAGCCATCTCTCCAGTCCCAGGTTTTTCTTTAATATGGCACCACTACAAAATGTTTTCATGTATTTTGGATATAGTTCATTTTCAGAGAAGTGTTTTCTAAAACTTTTCTCCTAGTCTGTGACTTTCTTTCTCATTCTCTTGACAATATCATTCATTTTCAGAAAAGAGGTCTTAAATTTTTTTCCAAGATTTCTGGGGATTTGTGGTTCTGTGACCAGTTGATTATTCAAACCATCAGGGTCAGGGCTGGCAGATGGTCTGACAGGTAAAGGTGCTTGCTGCCAATCCTGATGCTCTGAGTTTGGTCCATAGGACCAACTCAGTCGAAGAAGAAAACCAACTTCTAGAAGTTGTCCTCTGACCTCCACACATCTACTATGTGGCGTGTGTGTGTGTACACATAAATAGACGAATGTAAAAATCAAACCATGGAGGCTGTTTTAGAGTTTTCTGCTCTAACAGCAGCTACCTAATGGTCTATGCTCCATGGGCACAGGTGTGCTGTCTGATGCCTGTAGGTGATGCCAGCACCATGATACTTCCTGGCTTGTTTAGTGAAGTTGAAATGATAAAACTAACTCCATTTTGATCTAGCTGACGTTTACTTTACCTTGTGTTTTCGCCCAGCCATTCCCAGAGTACACTGTTTCTACAATACTGGGAAATTTGTAAATATCCATGTAGCATGTCCAGATAGCATGTCCTCCCTCCCAGCTATACCTGCATCTCCATGGAGCTCACTGTTTCCTAATTTAAACATTTTGTTAGCTGAAAACCTCTTTGTTAACAGACTGCCCCTGGTCTGGTATAACTATGGCGATCAGCTGGGTAAGGTGGCACACGCCTTTAATCCCAGCATTTGAGAGGCAGAGGCAGGTGGATCTCTGTGAGTTCAAGGCCAGCCTGGTCTACGTTAGCGAGTTCCAGGTCGGCTGGGGCTACACACACACACACACACACACACACACACACAAAAAAAAAAAAAACCTATAGCAATGTGATGTACCTATGATTACTGGCTTTGCCCCTGACATGATGTAATTGTGGTTTTTAAGTTTTATAAATCCTTCCCTGTTTCTCCTCAGGGTCAATAGTTCCTTTGGGCCTTAGCCTCCTCCCTGACTGCCAGCTATTAACAAAGGACTCTTAATTCAACCATCACTATGTGGTATTCTTCTGTGTATCTTGCTTGGTATGACAAAGGCATGCACCCAAAAATAAATAAAAATTATTTTATAAAGGCTACATCTGAGTAAGTCACACAAATTTGATTTGTGCTTTAAGTACTATATTAACTTTTATTTAAAAAATAATGTTACTATGTAGAAAATACAAATAAAGAATAAAGAAGCCAGGCGTGGTGGCACATGCCTGTAATCCCAGCACTTGGGAGGCAGAAGCAGGTAGAGCTCTATGAGATCGAGGCCAGTCTAGTCTACATAGTGAGTTCCAGGCCAGCTAGGGTGACAGAGAGACCCTGTCTCAAAAAGACCAAAAAAAAAAAAAAGAAAGTAAATGTCACTCCTAATTCAACCATTCAGAAGTCACTGCCATGTTAGTCTTCCACTAACCTGTGCACTCCTTATCTACACAGCTGTATCTGCTGCTTCAGAACCTGCTTCCTTCACTTAACATATGGTTGGCAGGTTTCTAACTGCCCACTGATTCCTATGTACAAATATCTTCATTTGTTAACAGAATCTTAAAGATTCTTAGGACAACTACAGTGGTGACTGAAATAAACAATGACCTCAGCAACAAGCTCTTGCAAGGGACCTGGGTCTGATTCCTAGTACCACATAGTGGTGGCTAACAACTGTCCCTAACTTCAGTTCCAGGGCATCTGACACCGTCTTCTGACCTCCTAGGGCACTGCATGACATGGATGCATTTACACACATGTAGGCAATACACTCATATACATAAAAATAAAAATAAATAAAATATTCACAAAAGACTCAAAACATAGTAAAAAGCTAAGTAAATAAAATCTATGATTAAAACCAATACTAGTTATGGATACCTGAGTAAAATATAAGACATTGCATTTCAGTGGCTAGCATGTAATGCCATAGATTGTAATGCTCTTTGTTTTAAAAACTATTTCAGTGAAGAACAAACTATCTGAACCAGACTTCTGGGGAATAAGACCTTACTCAGCTAGAAAACCTCACACCCTCTCAATGCTCTACTTTCCTAATGGCTCTGTCAGTGAGGAAACCAGCAAACCATGAGAGGAGTGCTATCCCCGACAGATGCTGCTTCTGCCATCCCTGAAAAAATAAAATTAGGTCATCAAACAAACAACGGTTTAATTGGCTTATTTAGTACTTTAAAATTAGCATTAACTTTTTACATTATTTCATTCTGACACTGGAAAAGAAATACAGATCTTAATCTCTGGATGAAGACCTTGTGGCTCAGCAATTTGTATAAGATGGACATCCAGTTTCAGTGTCAACTTCTACTTAACTCTAAGTCAGAGTTTCCTCATGGGAAAAGAGGGAATGAAAGTAGGAAATCGGAATTAGGACAGTCTATAAATTAAGTCTACCACTTAGGGAAAATGACCACCTCTTTATGACCATTTTTCCTATAAACAGAGCTTCTAAAGTGCACAAAACATGTCATCTAAGTAGACCTGGGCCACAGCCTGCAAGGGGGTGATCAGACTGCTGTGCTGTATCTGGATGTCTGGGAGGTCCCCTTGTCGATAACTTCTGTACAGAATAATCTTGGCGTCCTGCTTCACTTTTAACTCGTTCTTGATATCCTATAATCACCAGAAGCAAAGAAGGAGAATTAGAGTTCTCATTTAAGAAAATCAAGTGTGCCAGGTGTGGTAATGCACACTGATAATCCTTGTACTTGGGAGGTAAAGGCAAGAGGAGAGTGAGTTCAAGGTTACCTAGCAAGTTTAGGGCCAGCCTGAGCTATAAAAGACCCTGCCTCAAAAAAACAAAACAAAATAACAAACAATAGAAAAATCAGGTATGTATGGAAATTAAACCGTTAGGATACATCTTTATCACGGGGGTGGGGGGGATAATTTTATTTGTATGACTTTGGTCAATGTGGCAGATGACCCATATTGAATAATCTGAATCTGAATATTCATAAAAATTTAAATCAGAGAGCTGAGTTTCTAATACCTCAGAAAGCAAGCTTTGCCTCAAGGCCCAGAGTGACCCTTCCCTCACTCCACTCGTGCTCCTCAGTCACCAAACCGCTCTGGGGTATTTTCGGGTTTTTCCCTATTCAGTGCTTCAAATTTCCATATTCCCTCTCTAGAGAGGCTTTTCACAGATGTATTCACAGCTTGGTTTATTTCTGACAACCATTTCATAACATCAACCTGGCTCCCTGCTCCACTAATTCTTCACAGAGAGCACCAAGTATCATGCTCCAGACACTTTTGTTCAATGAATACAAATAAAAACACATGGCCTTCTAATGTCTGAATATCAGCATGTCATTCCTAATTAGCAGTCAGTGACCTCAGACCTGAATGTCTATTTCAGAGGGAATGGGCAGCAGGTCCCCCGAACTGATCAATTACTATAAAGCTCTTCAATATCCTGTCAAAATATCTTACTGTAACTTCTTATTCATTTGTAGACTGGGGTTTTGCTATGCAGCTTAGGCTAGCCACAAACGCGCCATCCTGGCTCTTTTTTTGTCACTTTAATCCAGCGGTCCTGGTTTATCTTCCTTTTGCTGGCCAGATAGGGCTATTTCCTACAAGCAGGGCTAGACAAGTGTCAGGTTTACTCAGAAGCCCAGAGCTATTTTTCTGAGGAAGCAATGAAGGAAGAGAAGATGTTAAGTACACTAGATTTTGACCACAGTGTTTAAAAGGAAAACTATGCTTATAGAGACAAGAGGAAGATGGAGAGAACTGTAC